CAGCTTCTCTGTCCCCTGCCCTCTTGGATTTCACCAACAAAAGGAGGTCATTTGCAGAGAGCTCTCATTTCTCTCCCACTTCTCATCTTACATTACCCAGATGCCTTCTGCAACCATCTCCACCTTCATCCCGATCACATGAAGACAGGCCTTTCTCCTTGCCAAGGCAAAGCCCTCCACAAGCATGAGGTATTCCATTCCATCATGTCTTCTTCAGCAGCTTGTCCTCTCCTTCATCCCTACTCTTATGATTTTTTTTTCAATTACTCCTCATCTACTGGCCGCTCCCCTACTGCCCACAAACATGTGCACATCTCTCCTATCCTCAAAATTTAATGCTCAACTGATCTATCCTTCCCCACTCTTTATTGTCCTATGTCTCCACTTCCTTTCATGACCAAGCTCCTTGAGGAGACTGCAGTAGGTCCTCTACTTCTTTTCCTCTCACTCTTTTCTCAACTCTTTGTAGTCTGGCTTTTAACCTCATCATTTCACCAAAAGTGCTCCCTTCAACGTTGCCAATGATCTCTTAGTCATCCAATCCAATAGCCTTTTCTCAATTCTCATTCTCCATTGCTTTTCTTGCAGCCTTGGACATGGTCCATCATTCTCTTCTCTGTAGTTTATCTCTCGGTTCTCCTGCTATCTGTCTAACAGCACCTTCTCTGTCTCTTTGGCTGGATCTCCATCCCACATTACACACACTATGGGTGACCCCCGAGGCTCTGCCCTGCACCCTTTCATCAGTGATTTTCCTCAGTCATCTCATGGTTTCCATTATCATCATCTCCATGCCAGTGACTCCTGGATTTACTGTCCAGCCCTAGCCTCTCTCCAAAGCTCGGTCTCACTTCTCCAAATGTCTATCTGTTGTCCTGTCTTTGTCAGTCCTGTCCGACTCTTTGTGGCCCCGGCCTCCATTGGCAGTCCTCATTCACACTCCATCTCCCAAATCTGCTTCTTTGCTGGCTGTCCTCCATGACTCATCTCCACCTTCCAGCTTCCTCGGCTTCCTTCAAGTCTTAGCTAAGGTCACTGCTGTTGTTGTGCAGTGCTTTCAGTCATGTCCAACTCATCCTGACCCCATTTGGGGTTTTCTTGGCAAAAATATTGGAATGGTTTGCCATTTCCTTCTACAGCTCATTTTACAGAGAAGGAAACTGAGATAAACAGGGTTAATTGACTTGCCCAAGCTTCCATAGCTAGTAAGTATTTAAGCCAGATTTGAATTCAGGTCTTCTTGACTCCAGGCCCAGCACTCTGTGACACACACACCAGCTCACTGCCCAGCTAAAGTCACATCTTCTACAAAAATCATTTCCCAGAATGCCTGAACTAACCTTAGTGTCTGCCCGCTGAGACTACCCCTCATTTATCCTGTCTCTCACACGTAGTTGTTGACATATTGTCTCCTCCATTAGACTGTGATCTCCTTGAGATCAGGCACAATTTTTTGCCCTTCTTTTTATCCACAGAGCTCAGTATGGTGCCTGGTATGTAGTAGGAGATTAATAAATATGAGTTGACTGACTGCAGCACTGAACTACCTTACAGGCTTTCAACCAATAAGGCATCCCTCTCCCTTGCACATATCAAAATCATGCAAAATTTGTGAAAGAAGAAATGAGAGAACTTTGTTCCATTAACCCTTTGTCCATTAACCATTTGAATATGATTATCCTCTGAGGACTGAGCCTCCTGTTTTGAAACTAACAAGGAAGAGGTCCAGAAGAGCATGTAAAGAGGTCTTCCTGTGAATGTTCACAACCCCCCTGGGGTCTTATTTATGAAGGTCACTGGATAAACTACAACAATAAAGCAATTCAGACACATGTCTTAAGGACTCTCGTGTACCAGGCACTGTGCAAGTACCTGAGGATACAAAGAAAAATACGTCAGCCCGTTGCCTTCAAGATGCTTACATTCTGATTAAATGAGGTGAAGGCTTGGTCTTCAAAAGTTTAAGAAGAGTGATCTGAAATAATGACACGCAGTTCAACAGAAAAACACTAGTTAAAATGATCTTCAGAATTCAAGGAAATTGTTGGTCATGGTAATTATTCAGTGAGTACAAAGAATAAGCATATACTTTTTAGAATGCATTGTGCGGTACTTTCAAAAGATTGACAAAGCATTATCTGCAAAGGGCTTCAAATTAACATATTAATGAAAGTTTTCAAGACATTATGGGAGAGCTGAGGTTTTTACGGTAATATCTAATGTGCCATTAATAACGTGTAAAATGCATAAGCATGAAGGACAGAAATTTTAAAGGTCTATACTTCGAAGAGCTATTAGTTTAAGAAAGTGCAGCTCAGCTATTATGTATTTAGAAATTAGGTCTATTTGTCTCCCAGAGTAAATGATTAGGACATTGTAGCCACTACCTTTCATTCTGCTTTTCTAACAACGAGAAATGTACACAAAAGTATAAAAAAAGCAATAATTACAAATAGTAAAGGTAAGTAAAAAGATAAAAAGAATACGACAGCAATAAGAAAATGGTCTTTTGGGAGCAAATCCTTTGTAAATTTATGGCATATAAAAGTACAAATCCGCCGAAAGTAAAAGTGTTCTGGATTTTCTTTCCTTTGGGACCCTGGCCCCTTCTGACTTTTCTAGTCTTCTGACACTGTGCTCTTGTCCACACCCTCCTCAACCCAGGCATAATTGCCCACATGGATCCTTCATGCACACTACCTCACTTTCCATCTCCCTGTCTCACTGTATTTGTCGTCCTTTTACCTAGAATACTCTTCGTTCTCATACCATGTCGCACCTCCCCCCCCCCCACAATCCTTGGTTTCATTCAAATACCAGCTCAAATGCCACCTCCTGTAGGAGACATTTTCTGGTTTCCCAGCCCCCACCCCCCAGACGCTGAAATCTTCCTGCTAATATTTCTTTCCACATATTCTGGTTTGTGTCCTAGGCACCTGTCGATTTACATTACGTCTCCCGTATTAGAATGACAGCTCTTTGACAATGGGCTGCTCTGGCTTTGTTTTCACTGAGCACAGCGGCCGGAGCAGACCAAGCACTTAGTAAATGCTGCACTGGTATAGATATGACCAACACGCAAAATGAAGTTCTCTCAGCTACACACATGCAGCTCATCTCTGTAAAACTGCTTTGCCTTAACAGGAATTTAGTAACAGGGGACTAGATCATATGAAGTGTCTATTCCAAATAATTAAAAATCATTTCACTTATACTATCTCCTATTTCCCCAACATTGTTGGCATAGCCTCATCTTGCATATGGAAAAACTGAGTCACAAGAAAAGACTATCCAGAAGTTCCAAGTCTACTATACACTGTTCCAGAGCTTCATTTGCCTAGGTTGCTAGACCATTCAAAGGGATGGTGCTAAAACTCAGTTTCAACAAAATCTGTGACAAGTCCTCAAAGAGGTGGGAGCACTAGAACATCTCACTTGTCTCCTGCAGAACCTGATATGTGGATCAAGAAGCAATGATTAGAACTGAACATGGAACAACTAATTGGTTTAAGATCCAGAGAGAAATATGACAAGTCTGTATATTGTCACCTTATTTGTTTAACTTATATGCAGAGTGCATCATGGGAAATGCCAGGCTGGATGAATCAAAAGCTGGAATTAAGGTCACCAGGAGAAATATCAACAATCTCAGATATGCAGATGATAGCACTTTGATGGCAGAAAGTGAAGAGGAATTGAGACACCTCTTGGGGGTGAAAGAGGAAAGTGTCAAAGCTGGCTTGAAGCTTAACATTTAAAAAAAAAACTTAAGATCTTGGAAACTGGTCCCATCACTTCCTGGCAAATAGAGAAAGAAGAAATGGAAGCAGTGTCAGATTTTATATTCTTGGGCTCAAAGATCACTGCAAAAAATGACTGCAGCCATCAAATTAAAAGTTCCTTTCTCCTTGGCAGGAAAGCTATGGCAAATCTGGACAGCATATTAAAAAGCAGAGACATCACCTTGCCAGGAAAGGTCCACATAGTTAAAGATATGGTTTTTCCAATAGTAATATATAGCTGTGAGAGCTGGGCTATAAGGAAAGCTAAGTGCCACAGAACTGGTGTTTTCAAATTGTGGTGCTGGGGAAGATTCTGAGAGTCCCTTGAACTGCAATTAGATCAAACCAGTCAACACTTTAAAAATCAATTCAGGCTATTCACTGGAAGGTTAAATATTGAAGCTAAACATTTTGGCCACATAATGAAAAGATGGGGCTCCCTGGAAAAGACCCAGATATTGGGAATGATTGAAAAGGAAAAGGGGATGGTAGAGGATGAGATGGATGGATAGTGTCACAGAAACAATGAATGTAAGTTTGGGACAGACTTCAAAAGACAGTGGAGAAAAGGAGGGCCTAGCATGCTCTCGTCCAGGGGTAGGGAGCCTTCGGCCTTGAGGCCATATGTGGCCCTCTAGGTCCTCAAGTACGGCCACATGTAGCCTTGAGGTCACAGGGTCCTCACCCCTACAATCTGGTCTACGGGGTCATGAAGAGCTGAACTGAACAACAACAAAAAGCTAATTTCAAATGAATGAGGACAAAAGAAAAATCAAATGCAATTGAGGTTTAAGCACTTACGGAATGCCTGAGCTTCATCAAACACACACACACACACACACACACACACACACACACACACACACACACAAAATAACAGCTCAAACACCATGTTTGCTAGAACCAGTTGAAGAATGGGGAATTCTCACTGTTTTAGCAATCTTAATTCAACTTTCCTCTGTCTAAGGCAACACAACTTGCTCTACAAGCACCTCTAGCCTTTTCTCTCAAGTCCTATCTTCTGCTGTTCCTCCCCTTTCTCTTCTTTTTGGCCTCCTCTATCATGAGAAAGGAGTCATCAGGACTGATGTGAAGAATAATTCTACTCCTTTCATTCCCTCCCATCAAAAATCTGCCCAGTGGGGACAGGGAACAAGGGGGCAATCAGCAAGAGGAGTTCTAAAAGTTCAAATTCTAAAACGGAAGAGGTGCCAGTTACTGGTCTTTCACATAAATCCCCAGCTATGCACGGGCTCCATTTTTCCATAATGCTTTCTCTAGCTCTCTCCTACATGTATGTTTCAATGCAAATGAATTAAGCACTTAAGCAAATACTGATCAGAGGACCACTGAGGGAGGGAGGGAAGATGAGAGAATGACAGAGAAATGGAGACAGAGAGAGGCAGAGAGAGGCAGAAGCAGACAAAGAGAGGAGAGGAGAGGACAGGAGGGAAGGGGAGGGGAGGGGAGGAGAGGAGAGGAGAGGAGAGGACAGGAAGGAAGGGAAGGGGAGGTGAGAGGAGAGGAAGGACAGGAAGGAAGGAAGGGAGGGGAGGAGAGGAGAGGACAGGAGAGGACAGGAGGGGAGGGGAGGGGAGGGGAGGGGAGAGGAGAGACACAGAGACAAAGCACAGTATCAGATGCTAGAGAAGATACAAAGTTTAGATCAGATGGAAGACATGGCTCCTCTCCTCATGGAATTTGGAGATTACTCTTCTCTAAAAGATAAGAGATTGCTCTACTTAATTCTTGGCATAATACCAGGTTAAGTCAACAAACATTTATTAAATGCTTACTATGTGCCAGGCACTAGGCTAAGCACCAAGGGTCCAAAGACAAGCCAAAACAGTTCCAGCCCTCCAAGAGCTTACAATCTAATGAAAGAAGACAACATGCAAATGAATAAGGACCAACAAGATATATGTGTGTGTGTGTGTATACATACAGATATATGTAAATATGTATACACACATGTGGAGGATAAATTATAAATAATCTTAGAGGAAAATAGAGGAAATGCACTAACATGAAAGAGAACTACAATGAGGCATTTCACTAATATATTGGGGGGGGCAGGGAATAAGTATATAGTGATTACCATGTGCCAGGCACTGAGCTAAGTAAATGCTTTACAAATATGATCTTATTTCATCCTCAGAACAACCCTAGGAAGTAGTTGCTTATTTTATCCCTATTTTACAGTTCAGGAAACTGAGTCAAGTTAAAGGACTTGCCTGAGGTCACACATCTGGCAAGTGTCTGAGGTTGGATTTGAACTCAGGTCTTCCTGACTCCAGGGCTGGCACTCTATTTATTGTTCCACCTAACTACCTGCAAGCAATACAAATTATGATAAGGGGAGTGGAATAACATATAATTGCAATTTCAAACTTAGCCTTGTCCTCACTTACTACTGAAGAAATAAAATGTCTTCAAACATTATTAAATTCATTGCCACCTAATTTGTGATGTCTTTTTTAGTAAATAATCAATACCATAATAATTTAATCTCTATCTTACTGCTTTAAAACTCAAATAATCAGTAGCTTTGCAGGAAATATAAAAATTCATATGCAAAACACTAAATATCCATCTTTGGCATGTCACTGCTTTGAGATAGCACAGCTTGACCTTAAATTATACAGAATTATACTGGAAAAGCTGCATGTAAAGGGAAAGTTTCCAAGTAACATAACATCACTTTTTTATTTCCCTTAAATATGTTCTCACACATAGAAAGCTCAAGCTAAAATAAACATCACCTTTAAGAATCTACAAGTTTGGGATGGAACATGGTGGAGTAAGCTGCTTGGCTTGCTCCAGGGCTCTGCAAAACTTTTAGAATCCTTGGCCTTGATACAACACAAACAATGTCCCAGATACAGAGTTATTAAAATTGAAGCAATAAAAAGGCATTAGGAATTGCCTCCACATAGTGTAAATCTTTCTGATCCACAGCAACAATATGGTCCTGACTTAGATTCATGTTCCTCCTGCCTTAGCTGCCCATGAGGCTGATCATAGCAGATTGATGCTGAACATCTCACCGGGTTGAATTGGCTTTTATTATATCTTATTATTAATAAAAATTAATTTTATTATCGGTTTTTATCATGAATCTACTCTCTTCGCCTCACTGCTGCGAGCAAGTCTGGTTCCCTGTGCCAGAAGCAAACTTGCCTGACCCTACTGGAAAGATAAACTAATGTATGAAGAAGAACCAGCAGTCTGGGACTGAACTGGGTACCGAGAAGTTGGGGAGGGGTTAATAACCCAAAGAAATTCTGTGCAGTTTCTGATGCGGTCTAGGGGTGCTGAGAACCCTGAAATGCAAGGGTACAGGGCAGAAGTCTGCCTCAAAAGAATCTTACTGGAGCAGCTAGCTGGTACAATGGCTAGAGCATCGGCCCCTATTGTCAGGAGGACCTGACTTCAAATCCAGTCTCAGGCCAAACATTTGACACTTACTAGCTGTGTGATTCTGGCTGGGCAAGTCACTTAACCCCAATTCCCAAACAAAAAATAAATAAATAAATAAATAAATAAATAAATAAAGATAATTCAACCAATCAAGCCTTCTTTCAGTCCAAGTAGCAAGTTTATTAAGACATTGGGTGGGTGGGCAAGATTTCTAGGAAATCTGCAGTATTTGTGATTCTAATACAATCAGGCCAGATTTTAAGAATCTGCACATTTGATGAGGATAAAATTGGTTACTTTTGCACAGAAACACTGTGGGAAGATCTGGGTGGGATTAAGGGGTGTAGAGTAGCCTGGGCTGGGCCAGGTACAGACAATGAAGGGAGGTAAGTGGCCAGCCTGGAAAGCCACAGTGAAAGGGCAGTTAAAAGGCTTATTGACTGGGATGGGTCAAGTGCCTCAGGTGAACACCAGAGATCTGGGCTCAGGGGCTTTGAGGTCCAGGTTCCTTATAGGGGTACAGCATGAATCCTACTCCCATCATTTCCATAGGGAAGACAGAAGAAGCACCTTGCAACACCAAATTAGTATAAACAGTAGATAATGCTTCCTGGCAAGGTTAGCTGCATAAGTGTGGGAATAAACTTCACCTTTAGATTATAAAGTTTTGATGACTCCTCCATGCCTTTCTCTTCCCAGAGGAAAGAACTATTTCTGAATGACTGCCTTTTCAAGTCCCAAAGTAAATCAATGCCATGAGGTGAGGAATAAAGCATCTTTAATTGAGATAACAGAGTGGCAAACCTGCCATCCTGCAGGATGTCCAGTGCATTTCCCAACCAAAGACACCCATGAAAAAGTTTTTTCTAGTTTAAGGAGGGGAGTGGGAGGAAACACTTTGAGGTAGTAAAGCCTGCTCATGATACCCCAGTGGCCCTTGGCAACCTGGGCAAGGAAAGCCACTTCATTGTAGATGTTTTGCCCTTCATTCCATGAATCTCAGTGGTAGGGCACAAGGACACTAGAAGCTGAGCTCCAGCTTGAGCTGGGCTCCCCACAAGACAACACCCCTGGGTGGGGGGACCTTGGATATGGTTCAGCTCAATCTAATCAAGAGTAAATATTTTGAATAGTAATGTAAGGTCATTACTGAAATTCTGACATTACAAGGACCACTGAAAGGAGTGGCAGTCCATATTACATTTGATATTAACAATTTCTGTCATTTTAACAATTATATGAAGAGCTATCACCTTTCTCTGCTTGGCATGCTCAATAAGAAGACTCAACGAAAAGACAGTATTTGCATGTGTGTGTATGTGTGCATGTGTGTGTGTGTGTGTGTGTGTGTATGTGTGTGTGTATGTGTGTGCATGTGCTGTGAGGCTGACAACTTGTTTTCCACATACCCGCCCCTTCCCTTCATCAGACCACCATGACTACACCTGTCTCACAGTGCTTCACTGTGTTTGTATTTTTTGTTGTTTTGTTTCATTTGCAGCATAAGGGGTAGAAGAGGGGAAAAAAGAGAAAAAAAGAAAGGAAGGAAGGAAGGAAGGAAGGAAGGAAGGAAGGAAGGAAGGAAGGAAGGAAGGAAGGAAGGAAGGAAGGAAGGAAGGAAGGAAGGAAGGAATGGAGGGAGGAAAGGGAAGGAAAGAAAAAGGGAAGGAGGGAAAGAAGGGGGAATTTCAAAAAAGCAAGAAAGAAAAATTATCAAGAGACCAGAAAGGGTCAATAAACATTTATTAAGCTCCTACTATATGCCAGGTACTGTGCTAATCATTGGGCCACACCAAAATGTAGAAATGGTATCATAAAACAGAAAATAAGCTGAAAACTCCCAGTGAAAATGAAAACAAAACAAAAAAAAGTATCTGATCCCCTGCATAAAAATCAAGAAACTAAAAAAAGGAACAAAAAAGGAAATGGAAAAATAAATATTTTTGTTTTATTTTTACTTAAGGAAAGAAAAAATGGGAAATCTGAACTGAACTAAGAGGTGGAACTGAGAGCTCATAAAGAATTTACCAGGAGAACTGAAAGAGAAGCTAGTTTGGAATCCATGACAGCAAATCTCCGTACAATGCCAAAGCTTCTGAAAAAAGAGAATCGTAAATGTGGGTTCTGAGAAGAAGGAGAAATGGTTATTAAAGCCCACCAATGTGAACAACCTCAATGGAAGAAAGCCTGAATTATAAACAGATTCCATTCCATTAAACCAGCATTGATGAATGGTCTGTTGTGTGCCAGGCACTTTCATAGGTGTTGGAGATAAAAAGACAAAATATCCCTGCTCTCAAGGTCTTTGAATTTCTATTGTGAGAAACAACATTTACACAGAAATTAACCACAAAATACATAAATAGTCACATGTGGGCTGGGGAGGGGGCGGGGATTCCCTAGTGACTGGCAGGATCCAGATGGGCTTCCTGTAGGAGGTGATCCTGAGGCTAAGCATGGACAGCAGTTGGAATTCTAAGGTCCAATGATTAGGAGGCCCATCCCCCTGTAGACAACACAGCAAAGGGGGCTGAAGGGGGTGGAGATGAAGGTACCCCAGGCTGGGGCAAGGGTTGTTTTCTGGAGGCTTGGAAAGTCAGCGGCAGGCCTGGAGATGAATGTAGGCCAGCTGGCCTGGGCCTATCCACAAAATGAAGGAGGAAGAGGACGAGGGAGTCATCCTTGGAATTAGAGGGGCCTGCGCCAGGAGTCTGCAGGTCTTGGGGGACGTTTCAGGTCAAGGAGATAGATCTGGGTGTGGACAGAGAAGCTCCTGGGTGAGACGGCAGGCCATTTGTAGGTTTGTTTTCCAGGAATACGGAATTCATAAAGCAGAATAATGAGCAATAAGGCTAGGAAAGTGCCTGGAGTTCAATGGGGAAGAACACCAAGCAGAGTCTGTGTTTCTTCCTGCTCGGGGCACTAAGGGGCCGCCAGAACTTCCTGTAAAGCAGAGTGCGGGATTGGACTTGTGTTTGGGATTCCTAAATCAAAACAATCAACCTGCAGAGAGTCTGAACATTTTAATCTCAGGAAAAAACCAACTGCATGATGACAGGGCTAAAAACCTACTCCATGAACTACAGGAAATCATTGAAGGAAATTTACCTGAACTTTTGAAAAACAAATGTCGTTCTAATTGAGATAACACTGCTTAAAGTTCAGGATTCCAATTCTGAACAACACGCATTGTAAGCAATCATGAGAAATGTCTTAGCTAACAAGGACAATCATTTTAAATATTAGCACAATAGCATCACTTATGTATCTCGACAGCATTTCAGCATTTGTAAGGTACTTCATGAATATCACTTCACCTGATCCCCACAATACCATGAGGTAGTTATTATTATCTCTCTTTTATGAAGGAGGAAACTAAGGCAGGCAGAGGTGAAATGACTTGTCCAGGCTCACAGACAGAATGTGTCAGAGGCCAGAGTGGAACACCTGCCTTCAGGTCCACAGCTCTAGCCACTGGCCCACTTGGCTGCTTCATCCATAGCCCAAGACTAGCTGCTGAGAGAAGAGAGAATGTACTATGGTACTCCAAAAATCAAAGGAGAGCTAGATGCAATACGTATTCCAAGGCTATTATCTGCCAAGGAAAACCCAATCAAAGATGTTAGGATTACTCATCCACAAGTAAACCAGACCTTGGAATGAGTCGCTCTAAAACACCCCAAGTTTGAGGATTCAGCAGTCACCCATTAAATGAGGAAAAATGTTTAGAATGGAAACAGTCACTATTGGCAGGGCGAGGCTGTACCAGCTTACACTGCTGGTGGAACTCTGAATTCCAATCACTGGATGCCAGAGAGCTTACCCCAGCCAATCTCCTCATTCTCCAGATGAGGAAGGGGAGCCTTTCCAAGGTTAGGAGTCACATAACTGGTGACAAGTATGTGGAAAATCAGTTATTTGGAAGTGTGTCCTGTGACTTCAAGTTCAGAACGTGCTTGATCACACTATTAATTAAGTCAACCGTTAAAAAATCAATTCAGAGTTATTCAAGGAATGCCATTGAGTTATGGTTATCCTTTCACTGAGAAATCCCCACACCAGGTGGAAGATAGTCCACAGTACTGGTGTGGCCACCTGTCTATATTACTGGTTTCCCATTACTCTAGAAGTCAGTGCATTATGTAGGAAGTCTCAACTGCAATGGACATTTTCAACAGTTGCATCTATTTACACATCCACCTTACAAGATTTATCCCAGCGTTAAGAAAAATTCACCATATTAAATAATTTCATATAAATACATTTTGTAGACAAAATTCAGATTATTGTCAGATTCAACCCTCTTACTGAATATATAAATATGTCACAGGTTTTTGTTTCTGGTTTTTTATGGAGGCATTTCATCAGATTCCTCAGAAATCTTCATTATAACAACCCGTTCTAGTGCACGCCAGGTGTTTATTGAGCATTAGGTTATTATTAGATTATTATTCTAAAATGTTGCTTTGAAGAATGCATTCCCAGCACAGAACTCTGGCACAGAATTGAGGTAATCAAAGCTTTTTAAAAAGTTTCTCTTTTGTTTTGTTGCCTAAGAATGTGTGTGACACCCATGTATCTTAGCTAAACTGCCACTGCAATGTAGAGCCAGTGAGACATGAATACAGCATCTTACATTTATAGAAATATCTCGCATCTGTGCTTAGCTTAATAGAAAACCATTCAGTGTTCTGAAAACTTAGACCAAAGAAAATCTTTCTGAATAATAACAGATTCTTAGCCAAAATGTTCTTGGGTTTTATTTTTCATTTGCCTCGATGTGGTATTAAAGATAAAACAGGGTTATTAACAGAATCAAACAAGAATCACAATCATGAAACATTTTCCCAAGAAACTTCTCTTGAATACATTAGAGCACTTGCTGGCTCAAAAAAGATTTTGATCAAATGTTTCACTGCGTAGAACTGGTTCCCCCAGACTCGTGCCTGGATGCACCTGTGATTACTTTCCAAAAAGCTACTGTGTATCTTACAGACTCGAAGAAGGAGTATTTTCTTCATTAACAAAGTTAAGTATGTTCCTACCAACCACCAGGAGACAATAATGGACTTACTGTTTGACTCACGTATCACAAAAACAGGATGTAAAAGTAAGAAGGGGCCTTAGAGGCCATTTCACATGAACAAATATCCCAACTGCAGGGAAATAATTCTCATAAGACTTGTTATCACAAAGGAGGAACACCACTTCTTCATCCAACCAGAGGAAGAGGAGTGCTAGGTGTTCTCAGAAACAGGATAAAAAGGTAACAAATAGTGGCAAAGCTACGAACCAAAACCAGACTCCATTTTGGGGAGCAACACTAATGACCAGAAGAACCAACCACTGGGTTGGTGCAGCGCGAGTGGAAATGGTTTATCTGTGACAGAGCCCACGCATGACCAAGATTCAAGGCTGGAATCTGCATGTGCATCAACTCAACAAAGAAACATCAAACAAAAGACTGAGACCTGATTGTTTGTTTATTGAAACAGAGGAGTTTATATGATGGTACTTGAAGAGACCAGATTGTTCTTGTTTAAATTAATGCAGATTGTGTAATGAATGAAGCCATGGAAACATATCACTGTAGGTGCAAAAAAAATTAGCATCTGCACGAGACCAAAAAAACATCATGGGCTACCTAGAAGTATACACCAAAACCTTGATATCCTTTAGAAACACATAGGTAACAAAACCCTGTATTTCAAGTACAAGCTCCAAAAACTCCTTGAGAATGACTGAAACCAAAATGTTATTAGGGCTAGAACTATGTTGAGCAGAACCAGGAGAACTTTGTAACAGTAGCAGCCACGTTGTGTGACGACTGACTTTGATGGACTTGGCTCTCCTCAGTAATGCAAGGATCTAAGACATCTCCAAAAGACTCACGATGGAAAATGCTTTCCACATCCACAGAAAGAATTATAGAGTATGAATGCAGATGGAAGCATACTATTTGCTCTTTTTTTCCTTTTGTTTTGTTTTGTTTCCTCTTTCTTGTGGTTCATTTCATTGGTTCTAATTCTTCTTTACAACATGACTAATGTGAAAATATGTTTAATAGGAAAGTATATGTAGAGCCTATGTCAGATTGCATGTTGTCTTGGGGAAGGAGGAGGGGAGAGGGGAGTTTAAAACTCAAAGTCTTCTGGAAGTGAATGTTGAAAACAAAAAATGAATAAATAAAAAAAATAAAAAAAGAATAGAGCCAAGACCACAAATGCCTGGATAGAACACTGATCCATAATATTTAAGAACAATGTTTTTGTTTAAATATATGTCACCATATTAAATATTCATAATCTTCAAACTACATGAAATGGAAAAAAAAAACCTTTCAAAATAGAGAAGCCTGCAAGTATCAGTGGGAAGCGGGTGTGAAGAGGATGCATGACGCAGTACACACCATCCCTATCATCCCATCTCCAAATGGTGCATCCAGGATACTGTCAGTGAGTCTGCAGGAGAGGAGATGACATCCAAACAATCCAATTCAATAACAAAAGGCAATCAGCTTAGTCATCTGTGTGATGGGGTACTTATGGTCGCTTCAGTCATATTCAACTCTTTGTGACCCCATCTGGGGTTTTCTTGGCAGAGATACTGGAGTGGTTTGCCATTTCCTTCTCAAGCTCATTTGACAGAAGAAAAAAATGAGGCAGAGTGAGTTAAAGTGACTTGCCCAGGGTCACACAGCTAGTAAGTGTCTGAGCTGGGTTTGAACTCAGGTCTCCTTGACTTCAGGCCCAGGCCTCTATCCACTGTACCACCTAGCTGCCCCATCTGTGCAACTGTTTGTAGAATATTAAATGAAAAAGATTAATAGCAAGAAAGTTCATACCATTTTCATCAGAAAAGATGAGAACATAATGATGATAACAACCAATAGGGGTATACCTCTGGATGGAGGCATGATGGAGAGCTATGATGCCAGAGTGGAATCAAATGAACTCCCATCAGGTCTATCCCATGTGAGCCCGATCAAAATGATGAAGATGAAGAAGTGTGAAGCAATGGCTATGTCTTGTGGATTGATTTCAACCTATAAACAACCATCAATGTAGACATAATCCTAGAGAATTAGTCATGCCATGAAGAATTATGAAAAAATATAAATGAAATAAACCCATCTCTGATAGCAGAAGACCCTGGAAAACATTGAATTCAATTCAATTTGAACTGTCTGCAGCACAGACCCTGTGCTAAACATGCCCCAGTCCTCAGGAAGTTCACAATCAGAGTGGAAGGAAGATGCGCGCACAAAAACATCACGAGGCACAAGGCGCTAGGTATGGAAGAGACAGCCAGAGAAGCGTCATTTGAAAAAT